AAAGCTGCACGACCTAGCAGCTAGACAACAGCAGTACCCGCGCGATCCACTGGAAAAGCGATCGACTATACTATCACGATGGAATCCCATCAGCAACCGACAACTCCGCGCGATGACAGGAAGAACAAGGAACAATTCCTGTTGTACGAACAACTTGCGAAGGACACAGGGATATCAGAGGCAACACTACGGAACGAGACCAGTCTAGAGTACTGGAATGACAAGATCAACATGTCAGAGGCTCCAACAAGCCTGCAGACTTAATTGTACGCAGGTTGCGCAATTGCTGATCTACGCACAACAACTCAGAAGGGCGCTACCCTTCTAAGTGCGTACATGGAGGATTTTGAAGGATGGACACCACAAGACTTCTCAGCACTCGGCCGCGCGTTCAAAAGGGAGCTTATACAAGTGCTAGAGGACAAGGGAATCACACCACAGCCAGGCACCAAAGGTACCCAAGCCCAGAAGCTGTACGATATGGCACAAGGGAAGGCGATTGCACCGGAAAGGCTTCGTACGCAACCTCCATCGCTGTATGAGGCTCCGCACGGAAGCAGACCAAACACAATGCTGCCATCAACACCAAACGTACCAGCATCACCTGCTCCTACACCTCAGCCAGCACTACACCGATCACCGTACGAACAATACATGCCACCCTACCCAACGCCTGCTCCACACCCTCAATCGTACACACCACCGCCTGCAGTAGTGTATGCACCACCGATACCACCTGCACAATCCATACCACATCACAGCCCGTACGAACTTCCACCCCAGAGGGAAACCGCCAAAGAAAAACTCCCAGCAGACAAGATTGTACAATTCCAAAAGGCATAGAAGAAGGACAACAACTACACAGGTCAACTGTACAACATCCTTGCAGACAAAACAAGGATCTTCATTGATCTATGTCGACAGCTAGATATCCAGGAAACTCAGTACGCAGACATCTTTCCAGACATCCTAGAAGGTCGGGCGAATATGTACTATATGCACAACATAGGCCCTAGACATGACTGGAAGCATTTGTACAACACCTTAAGCAGTCACTTTAACACTAATGTGAACCATAGCCAGTACTGGACAGACTGGACAACAATGACCTTCGCACAATGCTGACAAGAGAACCCTGACAAGAGTTTGCACAAAGTCCTTAAAACAATGATTGACAAGCTCACGCTCGCACAAAGGGCACTAGGAACAGAATTCCAAGGGGATGTTCCACTGCACACTGCCGTCGTACGAGCCTGTCGAGGACAACCGGAACTAGAACATGCCATGTTCACCATCAAGCCCTCGTGCGAAGCCCTATTCAGCGACCTACGGGCATCACTCCAAGTTACTATAGACCGAAGGGCAAACCAATACCTCCAGGAACCGCCTGATGCATACTACACGGACCGCTGATACAACTCCGCACGACAAGAGTCCGCACGACAAGAAGGAAGCTTCCCTCTGCGCAGAAGAGAACAACGTGGAAGATCTCCATCTAGGTTTAGGCCACAATCTAGAGATAACCGCACGCGGACAAAGAAGTGCTTTGTCTGCCACAAGGAAGGATGTTGGTTATCAAACCACCCTCGCAATGACTGTACGCGAGCGAAGAACCAGTACGTCGCCTCGTACGAAGATTTCCATGATGAGACCCCATCGCGCGAAGCCATCACCTCGTACATCTAAGACTTTGAAGGTTACCCTGAGGAAGAGGATGATTCGCACAATGCAGAGGAAATAGAATGGGAGGGTAAGGATGCTGAGGAAGCCGTCAACTACCTCACCTCCGCTGCCTATCTACACCGTGCAACGGGAGAGGACATCTACAGCATTGAACCTAAGGAATATGCTGAGCAGTTTATCCTTAACAACTGATACCGTACGGTATACTAAGGCGAACTATGGGACACAGGCGCAGCAAAGATCTCTACCGTTGGCAAGTCCCAACTTGAGGCGTACGTACGAGAGAACCCACGTACGGAAATTGATTGGACACCCAGCCAAACAGATATCAGCTTTGGAGGCCAGACACCGAAGGGATCAATTGGTACTGTACGAATCCAGAACCCAATTGGTCTAGTCACATACCACATCCTGGAGACTCCGACACCATTCCTGCTATCGCTGGCAGATGCTGACCGACTTGGGGCATACTTCAACAACGTTCTAAATGTTATCGTACGCAAAGACAAAACTACTGTACCTGTTGTACGAAAATGGGGACACTCTTTCTTTAACGTTAGCAAGGAAGAATCTATGTCTTTCTTCACTGAATCAGAACTCCGCCGCCTCCACCGCCGATTTGGACACCCCCGCACAGAGAGACTCCAGAAGATGCTAACCAGCGCCGGCCACGACGTTGATGCCGCAGTGCTGGAAGAGATTAAGAAGTTCTGCCACCTCTGCCAATTGTACAACCAGGCCCCGCAAAGATTTAAGTTCACAATCAAGGATAACACCCACTTTAACTATAAGGTTGTTATTGACGTTGTACAAATCAACAATAGGGATGTCCTACATGTCATTGATGCAGACACATCATTTC